GATATGTGGGGGCATGTTAAAACGAGCTGTTTTAGGTAGGCGTGGCTGACTCTTAACGTTTATAAAAGTTAAGAAACAACATACAGAACTACCACATTTTGCTATAAGTTTGATTACATCATATAATAATTGCTGTTAATAGTGTTCATCGTCTGTTTGATTATGTCTTTAATTGATTTTTCCGTACATTTCTGCCATATGTACATTGACTGACAGTCACCACTGATAAGCTATCACTAAATATTGTAGAAACTTAATTTGCTGTAAAGTTGCTTTGCAATGATTTGTATCGTGAAAAGCGCTGTACAAATAAACTTGAATTGAATTAAACTTGAATTGAATAAAGAATATCTCTTTGGATTTGAAACTTTAGTCTTTGCAACTTTAAAGATCTTCTTTATGCACCAAGAGCTTGTAACACTCCAAAGAGAAAGGAAAAATTTAGATCGCATCATATGACCCCTTTAATCAATCAGTCAATCAGTGTTTTATTTAATTCAATTTTTTTAATTTTTTAATTTTTTAATTTTATTTTTCATTTTATTTTTATTCTATTTTATTTCATTTTATTTTTAATAAAATAAAAAATAAAACTGAAATAAAATAAGAATAAAAATAAAATAAAATTATAGTGTCAGGTCACTGATATCACTTTTAAGAATAAATCCAGTGGGTCAAAAAATTTGAGACTACTATTTAAACACTTCTATTTTCTTTTCTTATCCTTTATCTATTTTTTTTTTCAATTATAAAATGAGGTATATTATTCACATAACAGTTGAATGAAACATTTACTTAACATTTACTTTTTAAAAAATGTATTAAAACATTTTTTTTTTTAAGTTCCTGGTTCATATTTTCATTGTAGTCTGACTTTTGGATACTACTATATTTAATCTTTTAATATTTACAAATACTAGTCCATATCATGATTTGATTGCAGTGTAATTACCTACTTTTGATTAATTCATCCAAACTTTAGCAAATTCTGTGACTTTCCGCGGTAAACTGTAAATTTTGTTTTTATAAGTGGATTCTGTGATTCCGTCTGTGTTTTCCGCATCGCAGAAATCATAGGGCCCTACTTGATTTATCTGGATCAAATTCGTTTTCCTGCTTTAGTCACGAAATCCCTATGTGTTGCATACAAGAGAAACATTACAGTGTTGTTGGCCCAAGAGATGACTGTAAAAGCAGTCTCACAGAGCTGGCCCCAGGCATGGCTGCTGGAAAATGGGACGGTAGAAACTTTGCTCCTTTGTGCGGTCCTCAGAGGAGCCGGAGAGTGCAGTGTCTTGTATGAGGTGATCGCTAGAGTGCTTCCTGAGACATGCCTTGGAGTCATACCACATTTCAAATGTATACAAGACTTCAGATCATGCTTAAAATCTTTACATAGAGGTGCATCACTTAAAGGAAAGGATTTGTGTTCTGAATTTGTGATTATGTTTGATACTTTGTTTGAGCTTTTGTGTGATGTTAGACTGTGAACAAGTCCCTTTTGTTGGTCATCTGCGAGATGGTCCATGGATCATGTGACTGGAGTAATGATGCTGAAAATTCAGTTTGAAATCACAGAAATAAATTACATTTTAAAATATATTCAAATAGAATAGTTATTTTAAATAGTAAAAATATTTCACAATATTACAGCTTTTGCTGTATTTTTGATCAAATAAATGCAGGCTTGGTAAGCAGAAAGAATTCTTTAAAAAACATTAAAAATCTTACTGTTCAAAAACTTTTGACTGGTAGTTTATATATCAAAATGATGTATATTTATTTATTAGTGCTGTCAAACGATTAAACGCGATTAATCTTATCCAAAATAAAATATTTTGTTTACATAATATGTGTTTATACTGTGTATATTTATTATGTATAAATAAATACACACACATGCAGTATATATTTTTTTAAAACTTCCATGAATATATTTATATTCATATAATTGATATTATATATAAACGTTTTAAAAATATAAACACAACATATTTTTCTTAAATACATACATGCATGTGTGTGTATTTATATATACATAATAAATATACACAGTACACACAGATATATTATGTAAACAAAACGTTTATTTTGGATCGTTTAACAGCACTATTATTTATTTATTTATTTATTTTTAACATGATGTGTTATTTATAGTAGTAGTATTTTCCTTACTGAATTTAATTTACTGGAAATTGGAAGAATGTAAAACTGTTTTCGCCTGCGATTTATTTACCGTGTGTGTGATTCCCAGGGAATACGCATGCAAATAAACGTATACTTTAAAAGAAATGTATGCTTTGAAGATGATTTGGGTAAAGCGGCTGCCAAATGTGAGGAAACAAAATGCTCTCATTTGAAATTCTAGGAGCATTTTTTACTGATCTCAACAGGCAAAAGCAGTTGAGATTGAAGACATGAGGATATTTAACATGTTTTCCCCCTGCTCATCTTTGATAAAGCCTTCTCTATACATGCATTCGTGGCGTATGATGGTTTTGTTTGTTTTTTTGTGGTTCTGTTTGAGAGCTGTATTGTAATTTGACAGATTGCCACAGGGTGCTCCCCTCATCTCCTGCAGTGTGTATTTACTGTGGAAACAGATCAGGATCACTAGTGTATATTTAAGATGGCTGAAACTACAACTTCATTAGCCATATTACTGTCGCAGAGAAAGAACTGTTACACATCTTGGCGAAAAAAACAAATTAGAGTGAACCCATTCTAAGCTTATGGTGTTTGGGAACAGCATGACGCCCGCGTATTATGACAAGCCTGCTGCCAAAGTACATTTTGGGAGAAAAATTACACGTGTATACATTCACCTCATGGCAACAACAGCTGTCAGGATGCAGAATTCATTCAGTTCAGTGTGATTCAGTTAACTTTGACTCTAAACAACATTTCATCCACTTCTCAAGTGACTCTGGGAAAGCGCCACATGCTCTTTGCACACTGTTAGACTTTTTATTGTGTATTTTTGCGGTAAATTACTGGCAGCACTATTGCTAGTAAGTTACTGTAACTACCCCTTTACAGTAGCTTATCGCAAGTTCATTTTACAGTATAATGCCCTTACCGCAATCTCATTTTACAGTTTGATGGCCTTACCGCAATTTAAATTTACAGTGAAATACCCTTACTGCAACTTAATTTTACAGTACTATATCCTTATATCCTTACTGTAACTCAACTTTACAATATAATAATATTACAGTAATTATTACTGTAATATTCCATAACTATACAGGCCTCCATAACCACCAACAGCTGATCTGAAACAAAACAGTGTTTTAGAGGGGAAATGTGTGAGAAATGGTCATGAGTTTATCTCATCTAAATTTGTTCATGGACAGACAAGGTAACAATGTGTGCAACAGCAGTTATTCCCAGTATAGTACTGTGTAAACACTATTGCTTTTTTGCACATCCTTGTCAGGGAACTCCATTAATTGCCTGAATGTACAATCACATTAAAGAGGTACACTGAGTAACTTTATGGTCCTTCAAACTTAAACTTTTTTTTTTGGCAGTGTTTTAAAGTATCTTTTTAGTTGTGACAACTCTTGATCCAAGGAATATCAGTGTGTATCAGCTACTGTAACTGCAATTTGTATTGTTTGTAAATATTAGAGCTAAACAGGCTTTTGAGTCAATCTAGAAGTACTCTTGAAGAATACAGGATAATAACTAAAATTAATACTAAATCAAGGTACATAAATGGCCATCAAATTCTCAGAAATATTTTAATCCAATTAAATCGTATGGGAACTGGAATCAGAATAAGAGAATAAGAATAATTGTGAATCAAACTGAATTGAATCAAGATCAGAAATGAATTAAGAGCTTGTGAATCAAATGGAATTATGAAATCTGTATCAATCCCCAGCCCAACATCTGAGTGATCATATATACAGTATATATATATATATATATATATATATATAAACTTACAAAGCCAAAGGTGCCGTGATAGGTAACCGTTAAAAGAGTCTTTGGGGTGTATTTGGCTCCTGCTGACACAAGAAAAAGGGAGGAAAAAAGGAAACATCAGAGAGACATTGCATATCTCCGGTGTGGGTTGCTTGATCGTATATATATAACATCTCAGACATTTCTGTCATAGCTGCAATTAATCTAATGTCACATACTGCAGCTGATAGTTAAAACATACTTACAAAGCCAAAGATGCTCAGTGCTGTGGCTCCTAAAATATCCTTTGGAGTGTAGTTAGCTCCTGTTGAAACAAGCAAAAGAGAGAAAAATAATAATCATTATTTTTCGTCAGTGATTTTTGACTAATCACTATATGTTATGAACATGATAAATCATAGATCTAGAATGACTGCTAGATTGATCACTTACACAATCAGATTACAATCAACACTGAAAAAAGAGCGAAGAGAAGATAGTTAAAACATACTTACAAAGCCAAAGATGCTCAGTGCTGTGGCTCCTAAAATATCCTTTGGAGTGTAGTTAGCTCCTGTTGAAACAAGCAAAAGAGAGAAAAATAATAATCATTATTTTTCGTCAGTGATTTTTGACTAATCACTATATGTTATGAACATGATAAATCATAGATCTAGAATGACTGCTAGATTGATCACTTACACAATCAGATTACAATCAACACTGAAAAAAGAGCGAAGAGAATATATACAATAAAATGTAAAAAATAATTAATATGAAACTTAAGAGTATACTGACTTTGATGAGACCTTGCTTCTGTTAACAAACAAGAAGCCATAATAAAGAATGCATTTTCTTTCTTGAATTCATTTATTATAATTTTACTTGAATATATATATTTTTTCTCTGGTATACGCACTGGCGTAAATGTTTTATTTACGAGAGAGAGAGCACGAGAGAGAACGTGCACGCAAGAGAGAGAACACAAGCTCTCTCTCTCGCTCTCTCTCTATTTCAAATGACGTCACACATTTAACGGTATTCATTTAACTGACGAGTAAAATATACCATAACCAGCAGTAAAAAAGTCGAAAAATCATTGTTCATGTAAATACTAGACATCTGTTCTGGAAAAGGCAGTCAGTCAGTTGAAGGACAATTGAATGAGTTTCATGAAAGCGGCAGTTTTTGAGGAAAACGAACATTTCCCTCAGACTGTCCTAGTAATAGACTATAATTAGAATTTATATTTACTTTGTTCATATTTTTTTAATTTCATTGATATTTGTAATGGTTTACGTTTTAAAAGTAAGTGAAAAGTAGGCTACTTACCACAGGAAAACTCGCAGTTGACATCTGGCGATTCACTCAGAGGGGAAGTCCATTATGCACGCACCGGACACAAGCCTCAGTTTATATAACCTCTGCAAGGTTGTTGCGCGGGCTTTGCGCGGGAAATAAAATAAAAATTTTGTGGGGTGTAAGCAAAGTTTATATATTTTATTTTTTAATCATTTTAAAAATACATTTATTTCACCACACTTGTGCTTACCCAGACATTAAATTGAGAATGCAGATTCCTGTTTTTCATCAGCAGAGCAATTTACAGTAGCACTACTGCTTTTGAGCAAACAGTAAAGTACCGCAGATTCCCATATACAGTAAATTACTGTAAAGGGCATAAAAATACCCATAATGCAGTGCATATTACAGTAGTTAACCGTAAAACACATATATGGTAGTTTACTGGGCTTTTTTGCGGTAAGTAACTGTAAAATTACAGCAAAGTCTAACTGTGTAGCCATGTTGTTTACTATATGCTGTCAGAGTAGGTGATGGGTTCTAACGTGTTGAAATGAGTATGGAGTGGTGAAAGGAAACAAATTTTCACTGTGGCTTTAGACGCACAGCTCTGCTTTCAGCGGCCACTGTGGTGTGACGTGTTATGCTGCTGCATTCATTGTGCATAAGCTCTGATATGAAATCTAGATACATACCCTGCTGCCTACTGCCTAGAAGGATTTGGAATTCTCTATAGGCAGCAAATAATGAAGAACATGGTAGACTCACAATTGGTGCCAGTACATGTCATACTCATTTCAAATTTGATGTTTTTTTATTGAAATAACTATGTTTCTTCTCAGTTTTTTCTTCTCAGTTGTGTACATTAGGGTTGTGTGTTACACCCAATGTAGTTAAATTAATGTTTATTGCATTATTTCAGTTTCATGTGTGTTACCATGATGGTGTTTAGTGTTTGTGTGAATGACACTGTGCGCCTTCTATATATGTTATTTTTTTAAAAGCTGCTTGTGATGGGCTTTGGTTCATCATGTGACTTTCTCATCACCACCTGCATTTGGTGGTTATAAGTGTATTACAAAGGTACAAAACAGATTTCAGTACTTCAATAGGTTGGTATATTAACATTATTTCAGTTAATGAAATTACGGTATTTAACTGTAAATTTAAATTAAAACCGTAAAACCTCAAATATTGCGACCGTATGTGTTGCTTAATATTATGCAAAAACCATGAGACCTTTTTTTCAGGATTATTTGATGTTCAGTTCAAAAGAACAGCAATTATTTTTTATAAAATTATTTTAAATATTGTAAAATTACTGTCACTTTTGACCAGTTTAATGCATCCTTGCTAAGCTGAAGTATTAATTTCCTTCAAAAAACTCAAAGTGACCCAAACTTTTGAATGAGTGTGTGTGTGTGTGTGTGCTTGTATATCTTTCATCCACTATCCTATATGAGTGATTTTAATTCATTTTCTTTAGTTTTCAATACTGAATATATGTATAGTTCAGCCATGAAACTGTAGATGGCGCAGGCTGATGGGTATTAACGTAACTGATGATATTCACAGTGCTAAACGACTTGGCACAAACTGATTGGTTCATGTTGCATATGCAGCCAATGAGCTTGCTGCTTTACATTTAAATGGCTGGTTAGCATCCACTTTAGCACTTTGCAGCGTGCTTTCAGAGTTCCCCTGAAACCCTCCACCTTTCCCAGCTCCACCTGTTTAGATCTGCTACGGGTTATTTTATATGCTATTTGTGCAGCAGCAGTATGTCTTAAATACTCACAGCACCACGTTGCCTTATGCATTGGCAGTAGCAAGTTCTTGTACTTGCTTGCAGCAGCAATAATCTACAACTACAGCAGTAATCAGAAGCAGCAGCGTAGCAGATCTATTCCACCAGGACCAAATACATAAACATTGTCACAACCATTACCATGCTAAAATTAGAGCTGCATGATAAATCGCATGTGATTGTCATGCGCATCTCGTCAGTAAAGCCAGTTCTGTGATTAGACGACAATCGCATGTGATTTATTGTGCAGCCCTAGCTAAAATCTTTCGAGAGTTGTCATGATTTAAAAAAAAAAAATTCTCCCCACAATGCATTGCTGGAATGTGATGCCTTAAAATGCCTACAGCAATCACATTGTTCACACTGCCTTTGCAATGTACTAAAGAAGCAGTACAGTTTATGTGCTGTTGCATTATTCAGATGTTTGTCTATATTTGTGTTTGTTTGCCATTTTTGATTAAATAGTACATTGACAGTTTATTTTTTTATTGTAGAATTGTATTTTCTGTTATCACTGTGATCTTCACAGAGAGGTCACAGCTGTCTTTCTTTATCCAGCGGAGAACAGATTTAATCAAACCCTGTCACGCGAAAAGACGACTGAACTCCTTGTGCTAAGACAAAAACTACAGATTTGAACTCTGCATGAACCGAGAAATTCAATGGAGCCAATGGTGAATTCACTATACAAGCAAAAAGAACATCAATTATATTCAGAGATTCAGAAGCCCTCTGTCATTCTTTTATTGTCCTTATGAAAAAATTAAATCCAGACGTGGGAGACCGTTCCACGCCATGAAGAAGAATAGAAGGAACTCGTACTTTTTGATGAGAGAAGTACTGGTATTCAAAGTCCAGTTCAGTCGAGAGGTCGGATAAAATGCATTGTCTGGCTGCAAGCTGGTGGAGACAATCTTCCCAACGCTGTCACCCAAAAGGCCCTATACTTCATCACAATAAGCTTGGTCTCTTAATTTCCTTCTTCTCGGGAGCGGAGGGAAATAGCTGAGAATTTTTGATGTCAGTGCAGAGAGAAGGTCATGCTTCATGTTGTCAGTAGTTCTTGGTACATTACCCAATCACGACTCAGATTTGTCTCTCCAGTTCAACTCTCATGACCATTTTCCTCTTAGAAATCCACTGGCTTTTCTTTCACCTCTGATTCGGTCGTATTTGTTCTTATATGTCACAACGAGACAATAATCCTCACATTTTCTCTCCTTTCACTCCAATGTCACCTTCAGCGCCACTCGAGGAGGTTTCTGTTTACTGAGATGAACATGAAGGACAATGTATTCTCCTCAGGGAATATTTCCCTTAGGGATAAAAAGTCCATCAGTCCAAAGCCTGTGTCTTATTACCCAGAAATGTAGCTAATGTTTATGCATGACCTTGTGCTGGGCGGTTCTTTGTCTCCCGCTCAGGATGACTGAATATACGCACGAAAAGTCACTCAGTGCGCTTTTGACAAGGTTATTCCCAGTAACAAGCTCCAAGGAGTGGCTTTGCGTGTCTGGGAACACTGGAATGTGATTCCTAATCTTTAGAAGTATGGAAATGCCGCACCCTTGCGGTAAAAGCGTATAATCTGTAAGGACGACACCTCGGTCACTGAGCGATTGTGTTTTGGATTCCACTGCAAGATAACATTTAGAGTCAGTTCCATTCTTTATCTCCTTGAAGCTGCCACTGTTCACTATGAATGGAACTGTGAGTGAGTTACATGGTAAAATCCGAAGAATGGTGACTGAAATGTTGAGAAAATTACACTAGATGGGATAATGAGAGAGAAAAGCTTGGGAAATTAGGTTCAGTTTTAATGTTTTTTTTTCTAGCTGGAATGCTATTTATAGATACACAGCTTCTACTGTTTTTGTTATTTTTCAATTCTTAACTTGAAAAAGAGAGACATTCAGAGTGTTCAATTTAATATTATTCTCTTTCTGACAGACATAAACAACGTGTACAGTGACAATCTGTCTGCTTGTTTATAATGCATGTTTGTTTGGATTTTGTTGGATCTTATTCTTTGGTTCCTTTATATATATATATATATATATATATATATATATAGCTGGCTTTTATAATTTTATGTTGGAAAGCTGCCAGTGACAAGCCTTCTGCATCTAGTGATGATGTGCGCTACCGGCGCCTATTTTGTACTAGTTGCGACGGTAGTGACGTCATGGCTGTCGCCGGCCAAACAAGTTGGTGTTTTTTCAATGTAGGCTTCAGACACGGGTCACGACGAGGCGTTCCCCATAGCGACCCCTAGAGGACGCAGTGTCTCGTTCCCCTCAGGGAACCATGGTTACATAAGTAACCCGAGACGTTTTCAGCCATGTTGATAAAAATGTATGTTTCTTGAGTAGCAAATCAGTATATTAGAATGATTTCTGAAGGATCATGTGACACTGAAGACTGGAGTAATGACTGCTGAACATTCAGCTTTGCATCACAGGAAAAATTACATTTTAAAATATATTACATTAGAAAACAGCTATTTACTTACAATATATTTTACATTTACTTGCTGTATTAAAAACAATTACTTTCTACATTCTGAGTGAATTCAGCTCAACAAAAACTATTTGGCAGTGGCATCTAGTGCATTGTTCATTACTTACGCATTATCATTTGTACGCAGTTCAAAAACGGTGAGATAAAGCATTTATTGTGTTTTCACATCACAAATTACAGACAGAAAAAAAAATGGATATAATCTTCACTTGGAACTTGTAAAGCTGTCCAGTGAAGAATGAAGTGCTTAAAAGCTTTGCTGAATGAGAATTACACATGTTGATCCAAAAATAACAAAATTTTAATTGCATCACTTACTTTACTTCACTTACTCTTTTGAAAATGATCTATTAGAATTAGCTTTGGAATAGTTTAATAGTTTTCTAGTATATTGTCATGATATGGTTTACATAAGTGTGATAAATGTGATTTTTTTTAAATATATAAACAAAACCCACTGTCATGTTAATTG